CAAGATAATATTTCCTGTGTCAAGACCCCTTTTCTAACAGTATTTAAGTCACAAGTCTTAGAAAGGATATCTTCATTCAAAATAGATTGTGTCGACTGAAAAAAAAAATAGATTGTGTCTTCTGAAGGAGAGGATTTGGTACTTTGTTTTTTGTATTTTTATATTCTTCAAATCTATGTACAAATACATAAAATGTTAATCTTTTTGAGAATTAAGGTATAGTGTAACACAGACTTTAATCTCAGAGGTCAGAATATTAGAACTCAAAGAAACCTTCAGGGACAGTGCCCTGCTTCCTGCATTTTGATGCATTAGAAAGGCTCAAAACCAGCAATCAAGAAATTTAAAGACAAATTGCGTTGGGAAAGTCTGCTGTCAGGGACCTCTCAAGAGTACCAAAGAGCAACAATGTTAGTCTGGAGACTAAGACGAGTCTTGTACAGGTCATGGTCTTTGCAATTATTTGCTATACATCAGAGAGCTGGACAAAGACTAAGGATGATAGAAGAAGAGTCGATGCCTCTGAGCTGTGGTGCTGGAGAAGAGTGTTGAACATACATACCATGGACTGCCAGGAGAACAAACAGGTCAGTCCTAGAGAAGGTGAGACCAAGCTGCTCCCTGAAGGCAAAGATTTTGAAGCTCCATCTTACATAATTTGGGCACGTGGCCAGAAGGGACCAGTCTTTGGAGAAGAACATCATGCTTGGAAGGGTGGAGGGACAGAACAGAAGAGGAAGGCCCAGGATGAGATAGATTGATTCAGTGACTGGAAAAGTGGGATTGAGTCTGTCAGAGACGATAAGGTTGGCTCAAGATAGAGCAGGGTTCAGAGCTGTTGTACATAGGGTCACTATGAGTCGCAGGCCACTTGGCAGCACATAACAACCACCAACCCGATTTGGCTCAGTCTCTGAGAAATAATGCTTCTCTTTTCATTGTTTTCTTTTCCCTTATGCCTTCCTCATGTGATTCCTTCCAGTGCCTCTCACCCTCAGCCACCCCTCTCATCTGTCAGTGGAGGCCTGCATATTGCTATAATAATGAACAGGCTTCAGTAAAACTTCCAAACTTAAAGACTGACTAGGAAAAAAGGACCTGACAAACTACTGCGAGAAATGAAGAGCATGGTGCAGGACTTGGCAGTGTCTTGTTCTACTGTACATGAGATTCCTTTGAGTCAAGGCCAATGTTACGGCAGGCTAACAGCAACATAAAAAAAGTAGGCCCTGGAAAACAATATATACAAATCTCATAAGTAAACCAGTTGTTGTTATGTGCCATCGAGTCAGAGCAGCTCTGAAGCCTGCTCTGTCCTGAGCCAGTCTCACTAATTCCGACTCACCTAGCCCCATTGCCCTGGTTACTGTATCAATCCATCTCATCCAGGGTCTTCCTTTCCTGTGCTGTCCTTCCACCCTTCCGAGGATGATGTCCTTCTCCAAGGATCAGTCCCTCTTGGCCACGTTCTCTCAAAGGATGTGAGACAGAGCTTCAAAATCCTAGCCTCCAAGGAGAAACTTGGTTTCACCCTGTCCAAGACAGATCTATTTGTTTTCTTGGCAGTCCATGGTGTGTTCAAGACTCTTCTCCAGCACCACAACTCAAAGGCATCTTCTTTTATCATCCTTAGTCATTGTTCAGCTCTGTGATGCATAGTAAGTAATTGTGAATACCATGGCCTTGATCAGGTGCACCTTAGTCTCTAGACCGACATTACTACTTCTTAGTACTCTGGAGAGGTCCCTGCCAGCAGATTGCATCAGGATTGGACTGAGATGGACCTGAAGCTCTTGCTGCAAAAGGTCAAAGACTGTAGTCTTCAAAATGGATGGAAGCTCAACATCAAGAAGACAAAGATTCCCACCCCTGGGCCAACTGGCAGCACCATGATGGATGGAGAAGAGTTTGGGATTGCTAACAGTTACAGCTTGCTCAGCTTCACAATCAACACTCTTGGCACCAGCAGCTCAAGAAATCAAAAGTAAACCAGTATAAAAGAAAAATTTTCTTTAAATTAAAAAAAGAAAAATGTAGGCCCAAGAGAAAGATAAGCAAGTAAACAAGACTTGAGGAGATCCATACAACCCAGCACCTGGAAGACTCCAGTTCTGTGGGAGTGTTTGGTTTGCTTTACTCTGTTGTTTCTTGCTTGCTGACTCGCCATTGCCTGTGAGCCCCACTCATTCACACAGAATCCTCTGCCTGGGGCCTGAGCCATCTGGTTTCACGTGATTAGCTATTTTTACCAAAACAAAGCCAATCTGGATTCCCTGAAGGGTAGGTCACCCAAGTCTCACCTAGGAGCCAGGTTCACTCCTCACTTTATCAACATGTTTATGTTCCATGTTTAGGTCTTTATGTGAGAATCATTTCATTCACTGCAGTCCTCTGGTAGCTGACCCCACAGCAGCTTTTTGGGGACCATAAATCAAACTGGAGGTGACTGCTCAAAGAGTAGCTAGTGGACTTCGAAATTCATGTTGTTCTTGTGTACCATCGAGTCAGAACCAACTCACAGCTGACCTTCCAGTGGCTTTTCAGAGGTTGTAAATCACACAAGAGGCAACTGCCCATCTTTCTCTCATGGAGAAACTGGTGGAGTGGAACCCCATGCTTTTTGGTTAGCAGGCAACTCCTTACCACTAAGCCACCAGACCTCCCTCTGAACTAGTGGGCTAAAAATTCTTGGTTATGCAAAAATGAAAGATGATCACACTTCCTTGCATAACAGAGTCATGGTCCAAGTTGACACATAACCTTACCCATCAGAGCCAGCAACTCTCTCCTAACATGTCAACACACATTACTGTCAAATATACTTTGTATGCAAAACAGATAGGATAATTTTTACTACTGTAAATGTGAAGTGTTGGATAATCAAATAATCAATAAGGGAGAAGTAGGTGTATACTTTCTTGGCCCTTGCCTTCAAGCATGGAGTTCAGGGCCCAAGAGAATTGATGAAATCTGAGTAGCTCTTTTGCAGTGCTGAGAGGTTTAAAACTGAAATTGCAAACTATACTTCCCTCCCTGGAGAGCTTTCTTTTCTGTAAAAGAGTGAAAGGAGATATAGCAGCAGTAACAAAAACCCACCAACCTGTTATCTTAAAAAACTGGAACGCTGGACATCTGGCCTAGAGAAGCAATCCAGATTTTCACCCTTAGGAGCTCTCTCAGTCCCAGGGGTTTAAAATCATCTCTGAGGTGCTTCCCACTTTATAGTCAGTGCTAAATTATGTGAGGGCATGTGGGACTGTGGGTCCCTGAGTCACCAGAGTGTCCACTGTACCAGATGCTACAGGGATGGCCAGATGTCAGTGATCCTTGCTCATTCTTACACCAGGGCTGCTGTTCACCCCCAGCGCAAATGGCTTTGCTTACATTTCAGTTTTCTTTCTTCTGCTCAGAAGCAGTGACTGATGAGGAAAGTGGAGAAGGAAAACTAAGGAAAAGGGGATGGAGAGCCTTTTATCTCTACAGCCTAATGTGCCTTAGAGAAATCGAATGTTGACTGGTATCTCAGCTTAGACACTTGGAATTGGTTCAGGGCTTCTTCCTATTTGATCTGGGCTGGGATAAGAGTCTCCAGTCCTGAATCATGGCCTCAGAAATACCTCTTACCAAACTGTGGATGTGGCTCTGCATAAACGCCCCTCCTCTTTGAAAATCACTTTGCAGTTTGTGAAGCCAGGATGGTTCATCCTATCAGAACAGGTGCCCTCTTTCTCAATGACAAGTGAGAATTAAACTTCTGGAGAAAGCTTTGGAATGTGAACAATGCACGGAGTCCTAGCCTATTGTATCATTTACCATCTGAGCCTAATCCAGCCCAGCCCACAGGGCTCCATCTGCACACTGTGCTTATTTCACTCTAGGCTTCAGCATTACGTCCCTAAAACCAACACCCATTTAAACCGCTCGAAGGCCAGACCGGGAAGATGGTCTTCTGTACTTCATGGCTGGCCTTTTGAATAATTAAGCAGAAAAAGCATGGTAATTGAAAGATTCATAAATCACAGAGCCAGCCCTAGTCAACCCCTTGGTTCTTTTGTTTCTCTCATCCCAGATGCTGCTCCTGGCTCTGGAAAGAGAAGGGCTGGAAGAAGTAACAGGAAAGATGACTAACCATGAAACACCGAATTACAAGGGTTTGCAGAAAGCCCACACCCGTTCAGGAGTAAAATAGCGCTGTGCAGGTCCTCTGGAGTGGGAATAGGGGAACATCTAACGTGCCTGAGTCTGGCTACTTGAGTCATGATTTAGCAAGACTCTTAGACCTTGCGTGAGAGGACTTCCTGTTCATCAAATCATGCTCTGGATCTCTACAGTGTCCTGGGAAGGAGCCCGATTTCCCCCCTTTCCCAGCTGAGCTTTGTAGATTGTCTCTGAAAGATTGTTCCTTGATATTCTAGGGAGGCATCCCAGTCCACCTGGTCAGTCCTCACCAAGCTGGTCCCCACACTGCGCCTGCTGCCTCCTGCACTTCTCAGACAAGGCCCAAATGGCCGCAACCCTGAGAGCCTGCTTTCACAGCAGTTCACAGGCAACGGCAGCCACAACCACAGAGTGAAACGAGGGCAGCCAGGACCCAGACACAAACATCCTGGGCTCTCTACATCCAGTGGCTCCAGCTGGAGGCTCAGGGGTCACAGAGCTGATGATTTATGTGGGACACGCATTGACTGGTCTCTTCTCTGCCGTCACTGTAGGTCAGACAACATTTTCTCCTGAGCCCACGGACTTCTCAGGGCAATTCTTTGGCTTATGAAGTCAGTGGATGTCTCGCTACTGATCAGGACGAGTAGGGGTCTGTTGCGAGACCATAGGTAGGGAATTCTGCTCACTGTGAAGGGGAGCTCCGCGTGGATGAAGGAACCCCCTTTGCACAGACCAGTCTGGGAGAGAAAGGGCTGTGCTGGAAACAAACTGAGGGGAGAATCTCCTTATTTCCATTAACTCTTCTCATCTTTCCTGGACTCTCTTCTTCCGTGCAGGAATCACCTGGTATAGGATCGCTTCCAGCTGAACATCTCCAGGTGGGATGAAGGGAGCACCTCTCGCTTCTGCAGGCTTCCCCAACGGCGCCGGCCCCCCAGGAACGAAGCTCGGCGCCTGCTCAGCCCTTTCATCCTCTCTTCCGCTCGGAAGAACTCAGTCAGGTCCCGGAAATACTCCAGGATGACCTCGTGGCTCCAGGCTGGCAAGGGCTCCTGGCGCAGGAAGCCACAGTGGCCTCCATGGCGGCTGAGCAGCAGGAAGAAGTAGGGATTGCTGCGGAAGAGCTCCGTGGGCAGGGTGTGCGCGGGGGGCCCGCACACGGGGTCGTCGGCGCTGCAGATGCACAGCACAGGCACAGCTGCCTCGTCCACGTCCCGGAGGGGCTCGTTGCGGTCCCAGTAGGTGTCCCAGCTGATGGGGCAACCCTTGGTGTGGCAGAACAGGGTCTCCTCAAGCTCACGCAGGGAGCGGCTCCTCAACAGTTGGCCGGTGTCCACTGTGTCCTCCAGCGCCGTTGTGTACCTGGCGGCGAGAAGGTGGTGGGAAGGAGTGAAGAAATCAGAAAGCAAACGATGGCAGAAGTTGTGGAGTGATGCCCACAGTCCAGACTGTACCACAGACACAGTGTTCAGTCATGTTGGTGCTAGACGCCTCCATGCCGTGTGGGACTCATAGCGACCCAGAACAAAACACACCTGAACCCTGACCTGTCTGCACCATCCTCATCATCCTCAGGATACATGAGACCATTGCCTCAGTCACTGTGTCAGTCCACCTGGTAGACAGTCTTCCTCTCTTTTATGGACCCTCCACCTTTCCAAGCATGATGTCCTTTTCCCAGGAATAGTCCCTCCTAGCAACATGCCCAAAGTATGTGAGACGAAGCTTCATCATCTCTGCCTCCAAGGAGCATTCTGGCTGCACTTTCTCCAAGACGTACCTGCTTGTTCTTTTGGCAGTCCATTGGATCTTCAGCACCCTTCTCCAAAACCACAATTCATTTAAAAAAAACAAAAAACAAGAAAACCTTCTGAATAGCTGCCATTGCTAAAACCAGGTGGTTTCACATAGGAGGTCCAGCTCACACTAGAAATGGGAAGATCTGCTGCCTGGGCTGACAGTCTGCAGGGACTTCCCTCCCTCCCTCCCTCCCTCCCTCCTGTGTCACAGTCCCCACCAAGCCTGTCATTTGTGGTATAACCTACCCAGCCCTTGGGGGACTTTACAGTTGCTGAAGACAAGGCTCTCTGTAGAGGATTCACTGTGAATTGTCACCCCCTCAAACTCTTGGAGGAACTCACTGCTCAGGCTTCTTTTAAAAAATAAGATATAAACAAATTAACAAAACCCCCAAAACGTCACCCATCTCGCCATCGAGTTAGAACCAACTCATAGCTGACCCTGCAGCAAGTTTTCAAAAGCTGTAAGTTGATGCCTTTGTGTTGTGGTGTTGGAAAAGCGCACTGAATAGCCCACGGACTGCAAAAAGAATAAACAAGCCTGTCTTGGAAGAAATGAAGCCAGAATGTGCCTTAAGAGACAAGGATGGTGAAACTTCGTCTCCCAAACTTTGGGCATGTTGTCAAGAGGAGCCAGTTAGTACTTGGGAAAAGACATCATGCTGGGAAAGAGGAAAGAAAAAGGAAGAGAAAGAAAGGAAGATCCTCAACAAGAGGGATTGACACACAATAATGTGCTCAAGCATATCAGCGATGGTGAGGAAGTGCACAGCAGGGCAGGGCTCAGCTGGGTTGTTTAGAGGGTGCTAAGAGTTGCAGTTGACTCGATGGCACCTAGGAACAACTAATCGTATGGAAGGAGATTGCCCATCTTTCTCCTGCATTGCTCAGACCATCCAAACCATTTCCCCGCCACACCATTTTGGTTGTATTCATTTTCTGGTGGTGGTGGTGGTAGTGTTTGGGGTATTTAAACAAAAACAAGAAACTAAGATGCTCCAACAATGATGACTGAGTGTGGCCTTGCTGGTGAGGCAGGCTTTCCTGCCTGGGAATGCTGGGGGGGAAAGGAGGCCAACTGTGAGTGCCAGTCAGTCACAGGCTGGGTTCACTGGGTTCCTGAGAGTAACTGCTTTGGGGAAGACAGCCATACTGCTGCTTCCAACTCCCTGGAGCAGGCCAGCCACCTTGGAAAGGAGGACAAGAAGGACACCGAGCCCTCTAGGAGAATCAGTCAGGCCTCAGCCAGTCAAATTAGATTGTATGTCTCCTGCAAACAGTAAACAAGCTTCCTCTGAGTTTTCAACTCCAAGCTTCCACCAGGAGGGCAGTTCCTAAAGGCCCATATTTTCTCCCCACTTCTCTCCAGCTGGTGCCCAGCGTCACCATTGGTGGTGGTCATTTTGGAATAAAAACCGTGGCAATTAAGTCACCCAAGAACCCCTTGCCCCTGTTCTGCGTCATCCCTGCGTTGTCATGACAGCACTGCTATTAAGCTCAGGCTTTGACCTTCGCAGAACAGGAAGCAAAATGGAGAGGGACAGGAAAGAGAAATCATTCCAGTCGTCACCAAGTATTGTGCACACCTGCTCAGGGCCAGGCCTTTGTTAGGTCATGTCATGAACATAGCCTCCCATGGGAGGTGGGCATGACTAACCTGGAGTAACTGAGGCTCAGAGGAGTTAGCTAACTTGCTAGAAATTCTGGGTTTTGAACCCATGCGGGTGTGACCCCAGAACCCAAGCTTTTTGCTCCACCACTTGGTCATAACGTCTTGAACTTCACTATGCCATCGCAGGCAGCAGCCTGGCTGTCTGGGGACCCTCACCCAGCCCTGCCCTCAAGGGAGAAGTGGAGCTTGTCACTCTAGTGGTAGCATCTTCTCCTTCAGCATCAATGGTTTTCAAATCTGTTTTTAATATATAAAATATAGAATGCATGCCTATGAGTAGATCAGACATTTCCCAAGTCTAAATAATTCTACTAAACCAAATGCCAACACCTCTCTGATCAATCCCTGTCCCCTCTAGCTTCAGAGACTGCAAGGAAATATTCTCCACAGATAATAGGTTGCAATTGCTTCCAGAGCCCTCTTTGCAGACTTGTCAACTTACAAATAAGTGGTAAAAGCTAGGCGTGTGGCCTGCGCCAGGGGGCCACCGGGCAGGTGCTGTGGTTGCTAGGAAACTGCGGAGGTGGGGGCTGCGGGCCCTGGGCAGGGAGTCCTTCCTCTTGCACAATGACCCTGACTGAATCCATCTCTAGTTTTTAAACTCTTTCCCCTAATTCTGTCTAGACCACGGGACTTTGGCGGCTTCAGAAAAGTGTGTTGAGAGAATTTTGCCCAAATTGGCCTAAATCTGATTCAATACCAATCAGCAGGGCGGTTTCTCCTTCAGCTCGCTGTCCCCCACCCTCTACCCGGCCCGTGGCCTCCACCTACTCACCTGCTAAGCGCGATCTTCTGTTGGAGCAGAAAACCTCGCTCGTAGGGCCAGGGCAGGCCAGCCTCGAACCACTCACGACAGCGAAGCACCGGCGAGATGCAGGCGGCGCCGGTCACGTAGCTGGAGGAGCCACACTCGCCCAGGTAGGAGAGCAGCAGCGCGGATCCCGAGCCCTCGCTCACCGCGAACAGCAGGGCCGCTGGGTGTCTGAAGCGGATGTAAGTGACCGCCTCCTTGAGGTCGGACGGGTCCCCAAAGGGCTGTAGGCGGGGACTGACCAGGGGGCAGCCCTGGTGGCCGCGGCGGTGGAAGATGACCGGGTAGTAGCCGCGCTCCAGGGCCAGCAGGCAGAGGCCGAGCACGTTACGGGTCAGGCGCCCCCATGCATTGGGGATCACCAGCAGCACGGCTGGGTGGCTCCCGGCGCTGGTGACCCGGCGGCCTCGGGCACAAGGTCCCACAACCCAGTCTAGTGCCACGAGCCCATCGTCCGTCAGCTGTAGGTACTCCCGGGCCAGCTCAGGTCCCGGACCCACGGGCAAGACGAAGTGGCAGAGGGTCTGCAGGTGGGGCCCCGCAAGCCAGGAGCGCAGGCCAGTCTCCAGGGCCGCCGAGCGTCGCAGGGCACGGAGCAGGCACTGGGCCAGCGCCGACGGCTTGCAGATGAGGCGGCATCCCCCAGGCAGCGGCTCCTGAGGGTCGCTGAACTGGTCCGCGAGGTCTCCCCGGTCCGCTCCCTCTTCGTCGTCTGTGCTTTGGGCCTCCCGCACAGTCGTTGCTCCGACGGCAGGCCTCCCAGGGCGCCGGAGCCACCGCGCCAGCAGTGCGAGAAGGGCGAGCGCGACGGCGAGCAGGGCGAGGGCGGCGCCCCCCAGCGGCATGGTGAGGCGGGAACCAGCGCGTGGCTGGCGGCGGGCGCTTCCCTTCGGAGAGCTCCGCGCTCTGTGCGCTCCGCCTGGCGGCCCCGCAGCCCAGGCCCTCCCGCGCCGGCGGGCGCGGGGGGGGCGCTCCGGATTGGCCGCGGCCCCTCGGAAGCAGCCAGTTCGGGCCCAGCTAGTCTCTCCCGCCCCCCCGGCCCTTTGTACAGTGATTGCGACAAGCAAGAGCAGAAGGTGAAAGGAGCCAGAGAGGGAGCAGGGTTTAGTCGCCCAGCCAAAAGAGAGTGATCAGCGAGGGAAGATCAGCGAGCTGAGAAGAGTGTGATGGCAGAGGAAGTGGGGAGACCTGGAGACCGAGGCTTGGAGGGTGGGGGTGAACCTCAGGAGGCCCCCGTCCCCGCCCTGCGCGGTCAGGAAGGCGGGATCGTGCCCGCTGCGAGTCTGGAGTTGCGGAGTCAGACACCCCGGGTCGCTGGGCGTTCAGAACCCCTGTTGACAAGTAGCAAAAGAGAGAAGTGAATAAACCGCTGGGGGCGTGGGTTTCCCGGGGAGCGACGACATTTGCAGTCCTAGTCACCAGCCACGCCGCTGCGCCTCCTTCCCCCGGTCTCCCTGCTCTCTGACCTCGGAGTTGGTCTCATGGGCACCCAACGGCGCAGTAACCCGGCCGGGGGAGGGGGTTGGGCTCCCCGCCAGCAAGGGTGAGGGCACACGACTGGCCCTGGCACAGATTTGCAGTGGGATCACCGCGCAGGGGGCTTTTAGGTCCTTTGCCAGCATCGCTGCACTGTCCCGTTGAGCTGGCTGGTGAGCAGGGGACCCTCTTCTAAGGTCTGGGCTTCTGATTGAGGAAATCCGTTAACAGGGAGCCCCAGGAAAAACAGCCGAGAAAAGGCGAGGGGAAAGGACGCGCTCAGGTGTCCTGCAACTCTCATAATGTGGCCAGTTTGGAGTTCCTTCAACTCAACAACTGTCTGTGACTGGGTAGGGTAGAGTGAGAGGCCACCCCTTCCTTGTAAGTCACGAATATGTGGGTGACAGCTGAAACTACACGTTCTCATTTTACTTCGAAGTTTGCAGCTGGGAATTGCAATCCTCACTTTTCACCCACGTTCCTGCTTTTCCCTCAAAATCCTGAGCCAAGCCAACGGGAGGGCATCTGGGAAGAGGGTGGCAGTGCCAGCGCCCTAATGCCGGAGAGGTCCGGCCGGCCGCCCCCGTGGGCTCTCCCTCTTCGGGGCGACCAGAGTCTCCTGGGTACCGCGGGCCACTACTTGGCAGAGGAGCACGAAGGTGAGGGTAAGGAACAAAGCAACCCCCACACTCGGGCTAACTCCAGCCTTCGGGGTTTCTAGGCCTGAGGAAGTTCCTTAGTCTTTAGGCTCCAGTGTGAAGGCGGGTGTGGGCTTGGAAGAAGATAGATACAGAGCTGGTACTCTCCCCTCAGCAGCAAGAACTTTGTGATTCCGTCTATTAGTCACATGGTCACAGGGACAAGTCTGAACCGAGTAGGCCAGGTCAGCGTCTCTCCTTTCCTGGACCACCCGGCGCACAGCAATCCCGCCCTTTCTCGCAGCTGCGCGTTGCTAGCAGCTGGGGTGCGAGGAGGCGAACCCCGCGGTGCGCGAGGTGGCTTCCGCTAGCTTTGCAGAATCGAGCGCGCAGGCCAGGATCCTAGAAAACTTTTCCGGCTTCAGAATAAGACGCGTGCGCGCGAGGTCTGCGGCTGTGGGCGGGTACTGGGCGAGCAGAGGCGGGCGGGGCGAAGGATGGACGCCGGAGCCCGGGCGTCCAGGCGCGCGCGCGCGCGGACCCGAGCCTCCGTGGACGCGCAGGCGGAGCGAGGGCGTGGGGGCGCTAAAGCAGGCTGGCATTTCGTTGCTGGTCCGGCGACTGGCCGGTCTCGGTCAGCCCCCGGCTGGGATGGCACCTCCTCCGCCTTCGCGCCTGTTGCTTTTCCTGGCAACTCTGGTGGGGCTCCTAGGTCCCTATGAGGTAAGGCGGCCCGCTCCCGAGGGGTCTTCAGCCGTGGATCTCAAAGCGCGCTTTGCCTAAAGTTAGTCCTGGAAGCAGTGACGAGCAGAGAGGCTTAGATCCGCATCCTGGCGACCTGGGGAGGGCTCAGACAGGGTCCTAGCTGTGACCCGCGCCTCAGCTCTGCGCCTTGGACCCCACAGGTGGCCACTAGGCTGGTGGAGGAGGCGGGAGTCCATTGCCCCGGAGGCCCATGGCCTCTGCCACCACAGGTAGGAGAAGTCCTGCAGGCTGAGAGAGAGGGGTTAATGAAGAAATAACCCCCTCCTGCAGTAGCTTCACCACCCCCTCCACTGTCAGCCACCCTCTGGGGACCTCTGCTGGTCCCTCCCGCTCTAGTCCCATCTTGACTCTTGGGGCCTACTGCCCACTCCCCACCCCACACATGGAGTCCCCTAGCTGTCCAAAGCTCATTTCTCTCCTTATGTACAGGTGTCACCAAGAGTGACGTATACACGGATGATCCCAGCGCTGGTAAGTACAAGCAGGGACCCACCCTTGGGAGTCTAAAGAAAGGGAGGACAAGCAGGGTTGCTACAACTTTTCTGCTCTGTGGTTCCATTCCTTATCTCTTCCCTCTGCCAGAGACAGTCTTCCTGGGCCCCCACCTTGCAGGACTAAACAAATATAGATGAGCCATTGTCCTCTGTCCTCAGTAATGGTGTGGCAGGAATGCTGTTCTGGAGCTGGCAGTGCAGGGAAGAGACCGATAGTATAAATGAAGGTTTTTGTTGATTGCCGTTGAGTGGAGTACGACTCATAGTGACCCTATGAACAAGACTTTCTCTTACTATCGTTGTTTCTCAAAGGTCATAGAGTTTCCAGATGCACGTTGTTTTGAAAGTGGATGCCACTCCTACTTCCAAAAGGTAGTAGGGGGAAAAATTATAAACCCCAACTTCCCCATGTGACCGTGGGAAATCTGACTACTCAGAGACTTTTCTGTAAGAAAAGCTATCACCACTGCCCCAAACCTGTAAGAACTAAATGGCTAGTGATGGCATTTTGAAGCGTACAAATGTGTAACATATAAGGTTTGTGGTGATTGTTGGGACTCATGGTGATCCCATGTGTACCTCAAGTTAATCAACTGCAAACTGTGAGATCAGCTTAGATGACTGTGTTTCCATCCTCATTGCAGGTGGTCAGATAACTTCTCTGTCTGTTGAGATTTTCTGTGAAAATATGTCACTTTCTGGATCTTCTGAAATAGTTCCAGGCCAAGAAGTATTGCCACCTGCCTGAGTGGCATGAGTGCCTCATGCCACGCCACTGTCATTCAGAAACCAGGCCTCCTTATTTTCTCCTTACCTTGACCACACTCTCCTCCCTGCCTTTGTAGGTCCTTGTTAAATGAGACTGGGCTGACCTGTCCAAATTTTTGATTCCCCTCTTGTCATGTTGGTCTGCTCACCACATATGAGTGTCAAGCTCACTCCCATCTCTGTACATTTGGTCCCATTTCTTCTTTCTCACCCCTGGCCTATCCTAATCTCAAGGGTGTAGCTTCTTTCCTTCTCAGCTTTCAATCCGTGCCACCTTCAAAACTGGAAGCAGGAGCCAGCGCCCCTTTGAAACACATCTTTCCTGAATAACTCAGCTTTAACCCATTACCTACCTCCTCTGAATTTTTAGACTATCCCCTCATTTAACAGCTAATCATTTGTCTTTGGTTTGCTATTTCATTTGCATGAGTTTTGTTTGCCAGCACTTCCCACACATTCCTTGTAAGCAAAGTCCAGGAGTTAAGCCTCTTTTTGGCATCTCCCACCACATCTAGCACAGCTCTGAGCATCAAGTCAGTCTAATAAAAGAGCAGTTAATGATTAATGATGTGAATTTCCATCCTGGGATTGTGCACCTGCTCCCTATGTGTCCAGTATTTGGACGCTCTGGGGAGACAGGATATATTGACCCGATCAATAAATGGAAGGCAGGGAGCTCTGGTGGTCTAGTGGCAAGAAGCTGTGCTGCAATCCTGAAGGCATGCGGTTTGAATCCACCAGATGCTCCACTGGAGAAGGCCGGGCAATGTCCACCTGTGCCAGTTGGATCCCACTTGATGGTACACAACAATAAAAAAAAAATTAAAAAAATGGAAGGCCTGGCCTCCACCTGGGGGCACTTAAGTGTTTAGACTGGGAACATCTAGGGCCACTGTTGCAGATACCAAGAAAAAGAGCTCAAAGAATGTGATTGGAATTAAAGCTTGGAAGTTGTTCGATTTGAGGGCTGGAAGGAACACTTAGGTGAGAGAAAGTGCATGCCAGCATCCAGGAACATTTGTTGGGTTTTTTTTGTGTATTTTTAATCTCTCTGAGTCGCAAAGATGGAAAGACCATCTGAGAGTCCCTTTTAAGCTGCTCCCTTCCCAAAAGGAGAACTAGCATGCCCAGGAAGGTAGCTGGACCAGGCTTGATGTTTCCCTGCCTTCCCTCCAGGCTGAGGATGTCAGCTTCCTCTACCATCCCTGTGCCCATCCCTGGCTGAAGATCCAGCTTGCCCTCCTGGCTCGTGTCTGTGTGCCTGAGCCCTCACTGACCCCTGATTCCAACCTCACTCAGGACCGAGTAAGTAGTTGCTGGCTGGCACTGGCAGAAATGTGCAGCCCCTTGTGTGTTAACTTTGCAATGAAAGGAAAATCCTAGATCTTCCTCTTGCTAGGTCCCACTTGCCTGCCTCAGCCCTAACACGTCTCTCTTCTTATAGCCCTTGGTGCTGACAGCATGGGGGGTGGCACTGGAGATGGCATGGGTAGAGCCAGCCTGGGCTGCCAGATGGCTGAAGAGGTGGCGCCGGAGGAAGAAGAAAGCATGGTTGCACCCTGGAAGCCTTTCTGGGGTATCTCCCTCGGTGCTGACCTCAGGCAGAGGGCACCTGAGCAGGAGAGGGTATCTGCAGGTGAGGGCTACTGAGACCAGATGTGGTGTTCTAGGGGGATGTAAGTGGCTATCTGGAAGTGGACATAAAAGGTAACCACTATCTTTTCTCCCCCCAGGCCCTGGCTTTGGCCTTTGCTCTTCGTAGCTGGCGGCCCCCAGGGACAGAGGTGGCACCTGGAATGCCTAGGCGGGCCTCTCCAGATGGTGCAAAGAGGAGGAGACTGCGGGCTGCTCTTGGTCTCCAGCCCACTCCCTCGATTCCAGGGATCCCCTCTGCTTCTTCACAGAACTGGGAGGCCAGACGGCCCACAGAGGGCACCCTGGGAGACGAGGGTAATGCCCCATCTGTGCCTGCTGTTCCCTTGCTGGCTGAGGGGCCTGACGGTAATGCCAGCTCCAAGACAGAGGCTCAGGGACCCAAAGGGCAAGGCAGCCCAGGGGGCTGTGTGTGCCCGGGCCAGGCCTCCCCTGCCCCTCAGGCGGCATCACCTCCAAGGGCTCGCAGGGTCCCCACGCCGCGCACGGAGGAGGCTGCCTGGGCAGCCACTGCCCTCACCTTCCTGTTGGTGCTGCTGACCCTGGCCACGCTCTGCACGCGGCTGCACCGAAACTTCCGACGTGGGGAGAGCATCTACTGGGGACCCACGGAGGACAGCAAGGACACAGTGGCCGGTGAGCAGCCCCCACTTGTCCCGCCCTCGCTGGGCCTGCCCCATCCCTGACCGCCTCCCATCCCCACAGCTGTCGTGAAGCGGAGGCTGCTGATGCCCCCACGTCGTGTTAAGCGCTCCCGCAGGAGACCCCTCTTCCCCCCCATGCCGGACAGTGGACCCGACGAGGACAGCTCGGACTGACCTGGGCCAGCCCAGCCCAGCCCCAAGCAGCGGGCTCCTCCCGTGGAGGCAAGGTGACCTCGGCCACGTGGCCCGAGCCTAGGGGGCCCCCTGCCGGCATGCAGAGCAGCTCGGCGTCTGCATGGAGCAGCAGCCAGAGGAGCCGTTTCAAGGGCCCCTGCCAAAATTCCTTGTTTCTAATTAAATTATTTTAGTAGAGTCTGGAGTTGAGCTTGTGCGTCTACCACAGACACATACACTCCCATCAGAGTCCTGGTCATAGGTCGTGCCTACTGTCTGGGCACCAGCCAGCCTGGCCTTGTAAATTGTCTAATTTTCAGAGTAGATGGGGAAGAGTTCTCCTTCCAAGGAGCAGCTGGTGGATTTGAACTGTATGCCTTTGAGACTGCAGCACAGTTTACCACTAGGCCACCAGAAGTCCCCAACCTTAGGAGTATGCTACCCTACCCCTGTTATCGCCAAGTGTCTCTTCTGACAGACACTCCCATAATGGGCTTCCTTGGTTTGGGGCTTTGGTTCATGCCCCTCTATTGCCACCCCTTTAATTCTGGAAGTATCACAAACAGCACCATGGTCACTTATTTATTTTTGATACAAATGTACATGACACATGTCTTGACAGTCAGCCCACCCACCACCACACAGTTAGGGCCTGGCCCCTGAGGGAAGAGGTGGGGCAGGAGAAGAGCTGGTATGTGCTGCCTTCCCGGGCTGCAGCCCAGACTCCCAGGCTTCCAGAGGGTGGGACCACGGCAGAAGTGCGGGTGCTCATGGTGGGTGCTGGCCTCTCAGAGATAACAGAAGGGGACTCACACCCACTAGCTGAGTTAGGGTCCCTGGGGAGCCAGCCCCAGGCTTGGGTGCTCACTCTCGGCCCCAGCCAGCCTAAGCCCCCAGCCACCCAGAGAGGGAGGAAAGATGGCGGCAAGTGGTGTCCACTTAGATCTAGAAGAGGGGTGCGGGTGGGGAGATGAGAGGACTGCAGCCATAGGACCACAGCTGAATACCTCGGCAGTCTCTGGCCCAGGGTGGGGGAGAGGGAGGCTGGTCCCACTGTCCTGGCCCATCACCTCTCAGAAACCCCGAAGGACCGGGCTTCCGGAACGGCACCGCCGCCCCGCACGCTCTCACGCAGGGACACTCAGTTACCACAAGTTAAAATTATGGGTGGAAGAGAAATGAGGGGGGGGGGGGAAAGAAAGATTTTCCAGTGTTTGCTGCTGGGAACCCCAGCACACAGGTTGGGGCCGTTTGGCATTAAAGAAAGAGAGCAGCAGGGGGCTGGTGGCTACAGGGCAGGGACATCCAGAGTATGTACAAAGGAGGGGGATGCCCCCGCTCAGCCCCCTATAGGGCTGAACTGGCTCATGGGGGTGGGTGACGTAGGGGGAGCTGCCCTGCTTGGAGTGTCCCCGCCCTGACCCTTTGCTGAGGGTGCCCTGGAGGGCAAGGGGCTGGGAATGATGCAGACCCCTGCACATTAGAGGGGAGGGGATGCTATGTACAGGGGAGAGGTGCATGGAATGTGGGGGACAGAAGATCCTGCCACCCCACATCTCCATCCTCAGGGCTTCAGGGGGAGGAGGCAGGCACCGCACACCTGGCTGCCAGGGGAGCTCGGCAGCACTAAGGGCACTTGTGCCAGTGGCTCTGCTAGGGTGGGGATTAGTGTTTGGAGTGGCCCAGCTCCCGCAGCCAATGAGGTCCCAGGGTGTGGGGGAGGGGATAGGGAGTGGTCACTGCTTCTTCTCTCGGGTGGTGATGGTGACCAGCTGCTTGGCAGCCTTGGCAATGTCATAGGCGCACTGGATCACCTGCTGAGTCAGCAGCTGGAAGTCCACAGGGGCGCCAGGCTCTGGGGGCACGGTCTTCCGGCACTCACTCTGCAGCCGGTAGGCACTGGCATTGAGCAGCCGCAGTGAGCTCCGCACTGGCTCCAGGGCCGGCCTCTGGACAGAGGGAGGACAGAAAGTTGAGCATTCAAGTCATGATCACGCCTGGTGTGTCTACTCTTCCAGCCATGTGACAGGCAGATCTGCCCTGTGGGCCGCAGACCCGCTCTCCTCCCTGGCCCCTGTTCCATACTTGTGGGCCCCAGACCCACGCTCCTCGCTGGCCCCTGTACCTTTGGAAAAAGGGAGGCCATTTCAGTCACTGCCAAGTGGATCTTCTCTGAGCAGGGCACAAAGCTGTTAAGGGAGATTATGAAAGGGCTCCTAAAGAGGGCTCCTGGGGCCAATGGAACACAGCTGCCCTCCTGCCCTCTGCAGCACCCCGGAAGCCAGTATGAGCCCATTGACACTCCCCTCCCCATCTATACCTGTCGTGCTTGAATTCTTGGGCAGCTCGGAGCAATTCCTGAATGTTCTTGGTAACTTGCTCTGTCTTCAGGATGACGTCCTCTGTGCTGGGAAGCCCGGGATCCAAGTCCTCATCCAGGTTTTCCAACTCTGGGTGGAAATCCTCCTCCTTGCCCAGTTCTAGGAACCTCTTCCCTTCCAGCCTGAGATCAAGATCAAAAGAAGAGGCTCCAGCTGTGGGGCTGGCTAGACACCCTGGGGCCCCCCAGCCTTCCCTTAGGATGTAGGCAGGGCCTAGGGTCAAGACCCCAAAAGGTGCCTCACCCAAGCAGTGGGTCCCCACTCTGCGTGTTCTCATAGTCACTGTCGGCACCACTGCCGTGGCGGGAAAGCTTGCTCTGGAGGGTGAAGGGAGGGGACACTATGTGAAGGACATGCTCCTGGACCCAGGTGGCCCCACACTTCTATCACCTCCCATACCCAGCTGTCCGATGGACATGGGCTACAACTTTACCGGGTGGCGGCTTCCTTCCTGGGGGCATGACAATAGTGGGGAGGAGGGCGTGAATGGCACTGCCGAGGCTGATACACCCTTCCGGATCTGAAACCCAGGGGAGGCTGGGGTCAGCTTTTGCTCCAAGAGGATGGGGACTGTGTGCCCACCTGCTGACACAACCCGACACCCAGTGGGGGCTCGGAGCATATCCGCCAAGGTGGACCCACCCTCCCCAGGCCTTGCTTACCCGGTACAGACCAGTGGGCACATGCACTGAATAGATGGCATCGTCCTCCAGCTCCTGGTTGGGAACAATGGGGTCACGGTGGGCCTTGAAGGGGTTCCTACCCATCTCCCCATCCCCTTGAGGCCCCCAGAGCTCACAGTGCTGTGGAAAGGCTGTAGCCTCGTGGTGAGATCATCCCCGGGCGGGGCCCCGAAGGACTTCAGGGCAGAGCCTGGTTCATACATGGAGAAGGCCTGGCGGTCCCTGCGATGGGCACTCCCGCTGGGAGCCATGGCTGAGTGCTCTGCCCGATCACTGGGGAGCGGGGGTGCAGGTGCAGGCCCCGACTGCTGCCGGATCTGCAGGTTCTCCGCCTGCAACTTATGGATCTGTGAGCAGCCGCATGTACCGGGGTCAGAAAGTCTGGCCCAGGTGGGGACCCCCCACCCCCAACTCCCACCGAGGCTGCGGCCCTCACCTCCCTCTGCAGCCTCCGCAGCTCATCACTCAAGCTACTATTGACCTTCATGAGCTGCTGCACCTTTGCCTCGGAGGTAGCCAGTGCTTTCTTCAGTTCCAGGTACTCCTGCAGCGTCACAGCCCCATCAGAAAGGTCTGAGGAGTCAATGCTCTGTAGAGGGAGATACAGTCATGGTCAGCCTTTGGGGTGCAAACTGCTGGGGCTGTGAACAGCCCACTCGCTCCAGGCCTCCTGGGGTGTGAGGAGGTTGTGCCTGGCCCAAAGGGGAAAATAGGGGATGACAGGGGAGGGGCAGTGCTCAGACCCGGGCCCTGTTGTTCCGAGTGGCACCAGTGCTGCGCAGGGGCTCCTGGTCCGTGTCCTCATCGGAAGCTACACTGTCATAGTCATGCTGGTCGTCGAGGTCACTCTGGCTCCGCGTGGAGAGTTCAAGGTTGTCTAAGGGCACGAGGTGGTTGTTCAGGGCCATTACCATTTCCACCCAAAGGGAGTAGGGTGACGTCTAAGACGGAGCCCGAGGCCATCCCACTCATGTCCTACCTGTGGGGCTGCTCAGGCTCTTGCCCTGCTGCCTGCGCTTGGCCTCGCTGAGAATGTCAATGATCAGGGTGGCAAACTCGCGAGCATTAAAGCGAGCTAACTTTTGTCTCCCCTGTGAGGCAGAAAGGGGTGTCAACATGCAGGAGCCCCTGTGCCTTGACACACAGTGTGGGGATGAAGCAGCAAAGCCCTTCTCAAGTAGCTGATCAACCACAGCCGGCCCCCACCATTATGATACAGATTAAGGGCAGCTAGAGGGGGCTCTTGGAAGGGGCTGGGACATTCTCCAAAGAGCCTCTTCCTCATACTCTAATCCCACGCCAGGTGGGCCCTAAGGGAGGCCAGAGCTAGGAGTGGAGCTGGCCAGCAACCAGTCCAGCCGACAGCAGTGGGCAAGAAAGCAGCAGAACTCAACAGGGTCCCCCACTGGAGACTACCCCAGGCCCTAGGCTGGGCCAATCACCTGATTCCGTGTGGCCGAATACTCAGGGTTCACAGGCAGGAAGGGCACAGCACTGCGCTCTGTCACCAGGGTGCTGTGGTTTTGGGTCGCCAGCCACACTGTGGAGTAGAAAGGCTGTAGGCATGGTGGCAAGGCCGGAGCCATCCAGCTCTCTCACACACCCACAGAGGAGGCAATTCAAAACAGGGGTGCTCTGAGAGGGGGAGACTAGAAGCTTAGCTTGGTCAGAATGAGGCTGGACAATTCCTGGGGGGAATCAGATGACTTCTTCCCACCCGAGTGTGGGCAGGAAGGAGTGATTTAGAAGGTGGAGTTGGATGAGGGAAAGAGTTACAGTGGAAGGGCAGCTGGAGCTGAGATGGGGCGGGAGGGGGCGAGCTGCTTCCCACTGGGCACTGGGGCCCAATTCAGGCTACTGTCCAGGGGTGCCTGTCTGGCAGGGCCTAACCCGTAAGCCTGTTAAGGAGCCCAGCCCTGCACCCAGGCACCCTTCT